CCCATCCTCTGACCTTAGGCGTCTCCCCCTTGGCGCCCGGCGGGAGTCTCAGGATCCAGAAGTTCTGGTTCTTCAAGAGGTTCTCCATGTTTTCCAGCCGGCGTTGGAGGAGCCCATACTCCTGGATCAGGGTGCCCAGGGCGGTCAGCTTGCACTCCATCTGGTTGCCAAAGTCCACCACGGCGTTCTCGCAGTCCACATATTTCTTCTCGTTGGTCATGACCCGCCGCTCCAGGTTGAGCAGGCGGCTGGCGTGGGAGTCCACTTTCCGCTCCACCGCTTGGATGGCGGCCACCACGGTCCAGAGGGAGAGCTCGGCCATGTTCTGCTTGACCTCGCGGTCCAAGTTCTGCTCGGGGAGGAGAGGGAGCGGCGGGCGGGACTCCATCCGGGGGGGGGGAGAAATCCGGGAATTCTTTAAGAGAGAGAGAGAGAGAAAGAGAGAGAGAGAAGGACACTGGAGGAGTTGTCGAAAGAAAGAGGACGCCCGTAGCCGTGCGGAGCCTCGGCGGTTGTCAAACGTTTAGGCAACGTCGTCAGTGCTAGGAGGAGAAGGGAACTCGCTCATTTAAAAAAAAGAAAGAAAAACAGACCAATCCTGTTGCAGGGGACTTCGAACGTGGCCCTTTTAGGACCGGTGGACTTCAACTCCCAGGATTCCTCCGCCAGCCTGCCTGGCTGAGGAATTCTGGGAGTTGAAGTCCCACCAGTCACACAAGGGCCCAGTTTGAAGACCCCTGTCTTAAAGCCTCCCGGCTGAGGAATTCTGGGAATTGAAGTCCCACCAGTCACACAAGGGCCCAGTTTGAAGACCCCTGTCTTAAAGAGTCTTAAAGAGCTTGAGCAGGGGGCTGGACTAGAGGACCTCCAAGGTCCCTTCCCAACTCTTGTTATTCTACAAGGGTCACCTGCTTGAGCAGGGGGCTGGACTAGAGGACCTTCAAGGTCCCTTCCAACTGTTATTCTGTAAGGGTCACCTGCTTGAGCAGGGGGCTGGACTAGATGACCTCTAAGGTCCCCCCCCAGGTCTATTCCGGTTGATTCTTCAACGCCTCAAGGGCCTGCCTATTTTTCACACAGATGTGGGCTTTGAATATAGTCTGATATAAATGCCAAGGGGGGGGGGAGAATAAAAAAACAGGCAGCTGATGGTCTAACATTCCCCCCCCCAAGGCCTTATTTGCAAAATACAATTTAAATACAAAATAATCCACCCAAACTCTGAAGCAGACCGTGTGGTTTATTGGGTTGCTGAGTGGAAAATTTAAATTTATGCAGATTTTCTTCTCCCTTTTTAGGGTCCTTTAGCGGTATTATAGTTTTTTTATTATTATTATTATTATTATTATTATTATTATTATTGATCATCGCACAGTCAGCCAGATGTTCAGACTGCATTTGGCATTTTGTCTACCTATCGAGTCCTTCCCAAGGACCTGGGATATATTATTATTATTATTATTATTATTATTATTATTATTATTGGTCATCGCACAGTCAGCCAGATGTTCAGACTGGATTTGGCATTTTGTCTACCTATCGAGTCCTTCCCAAGGACCTGGGATATATTATTATTATTATTATTATTATTATTATTATT